AGCTTTGTAACAGTACTTACTGAGGCAACAAACTTGACCATGTTCTTGAATAAGGCTGAACATTATAAATATGCCAATTTCCTGTAAGCGATTTAATAATTATAAGGCAAAACCAGTGGAAGTCACAACAGGATTTGTTTTAACTGTAGACAGGATGATGCTGAAATCATATGGAAAAGAAAAAAGAATGAACAGCAGGACACATCTGTAAGAGAAGAGTTATGAGGAAGGCTGGTCTTTTGTATTTTCAAACATAAAATCAGAGTGATTTGAAGCCTGTTACTGGTGGATGGTTAGAGAGACACGTCAATGGATCAGAATAAAAAAGATTTTAAGTAAAGCACATATTTTCAATATATATATTGAATTATAAAGCATGTAATTTTCAATATATATTGAAATTTTGTTTATGATGACTATGACATCACAAATCAGTAAGGCAAAGTTTCATTACCCAATAAATATACCAAAACCACTCAATGTGCTAGAAAAATAATAAAATCGGATTTATGGCTTTCACTTTACACTGCGTCTCCCAGGAGTCAAGATCCATTCCCAAGACATGGGCAAGCAAGAACAACTTCTTCCCTATATACTCCTGAGAATGTTAAACCTTGTCAGTGTATAACTTTTAAAGAAAAATTAAATACAAAATGCTTCTTTGTTTATTCAGTTTTGAAAAATGTATTTGTCTGATTATACAAAAAACGTATGTTATAAAAATGTGAGGAATACGGAACATATCAAAAGTAATTAAGACAAAGTAAAGCACAATCCCAGTAATGCCAAAAAGCAATAAGCAGCAGTCATTACCACCCTTCTTTTTATGTTTCTATTTCATTTATTCATTTAATTCCACACTTAAGTCACATGTAATACTTAATAAAGTTGAATGATTTAGTCAGAATCCTTTTTCAACTGGACTTCATGCCACAATTTCATTCTAACTTTTCACCTACGTCTTTGACCTTCGTATCTTTGTCATCAGAGCTACTTTATGAGTCATCTAACACAATTTTCCAAAGCACATCATTTTCACTTTCTTTTAAGTTATTTGAAATATAACACCTTTTGAATAAATGTGTGATCCTTTAGTGGAAATGTTATTTCAAGCCAGAAATGCTATTTCATATGCCATTAGGATATTTGCCTTTAAAAATTATTGATATATAGTCATAATTTGAAACTCTAACCACTGCTGCTTAAATAACTTGAATTACCAATTCCAAGTTTTTTGCCTTTGAATTGCAAAAGTCCTTCATAACACTGACCTAATTTAGTGATTAGAGTTTATGATTTATTCTTTATCTTCTCATACCAAATTGATTTACTCATACCCATTTCACTTAAATTAGTTAATGCCCTCTTACTTTCTCATCTTACTCGTATGCTCTTTGTTCCTTGATATCTCTTTTTTCCCTCCTTTCCATTGCATTAAATATTACTTCCCTGCTTCTCTAGCTATCCACCTACACAGCTTTCAAGATTTAACACAAATCATACTTCTTCAAAAACTGCATTTTTATTCACTGCACTTTGAGCATGTTTTTCTTATTCTTCTGAGTTCTTATAGAAATTTGTGTTCATTTTATTAGCAGTTTTTTACTCATATGGCATAATTCAAATATTTTATTACATTTTACTTACTAATATCTTATGTCTCCATGTTGGTGGTAAATACAATTCTTTGCATTCCACCTAACAGTTTATTTCATATAATGGGTGCTAAGCCTTACACAAATCTTGAGAAAGTTCTTGAAGTTACTAAATCTCAGTTTATTCCTTTGAATAATAGAGAATATTGGACAAGGTGATGTTCAAGGCCTGTCTCAATACTAACTCTCCAATGCTGATTTAATTCTTGAACACTGTTCATATTTCCCACTAGATGGTACTAACATCAAACAAACACTACTTGAGAAAATTGATAATATTTTTCCCCAGAAGGTCACTGCATTGTTTTATTTGTCCTGGACTAATTATTTATCATGTACATAAGACAAAATACACATTATTTTCTGACAGTATATAACAGTCTATTGTTGGTATAGCTGAACATAAACTAATAGCTACAGCATGAGATGTATTATTATGTTTCAAGAAAATTGATAATATTTTTAAGTGAGTGGCAGAGATGAATAATCAGGACAGGTAACCTGTTATGTACAACAGCTGTAATTGGAAAAATACATTAGAGACATATACCTTCAATCGTGGTACCATCAAACCAATCAAAGGATCAAACATAACTCATTACCTTTAAAAATGTCCTTGTATTCTTTTGAGTGTGTGTTTTTCTGTAAGATCACTTAACGTGAGATCTGTTCTTTTAACATATTTTAAAGTGCACAATATTGTCTTGTGTACAGCAGATCTCTATGTCATGTTCATCTTGCATAACTGAAGCTTTATGCCCATGTGTTAGGGTTCTCCAAAGAGAGAGAACCAATAGGATATGTGTGAGGATAGATAGATAGATAGATAGATAGATAGATAGATAGATAGATAGAGATGAGAAGAGATTTGTTAGGAGAATTGGCTCACACAATTATGGAGGCTGAGGAGTATGGTAACAAGCTATCAAGCTAGAGACTTGCTGGGATGCCAATACTGTGGCTCAGCCTAAGTCCAAAAACCTCAGAACCAGGGAAGCAGAAGGTTTAATCTTTAGTTCAAGTCTGAAGGCCTGAGAACCCGGGGTCCAGGGGGCGCTGGTGTAAGTACTGCAGTCTCAGGGCCTCAGGCCAGTGCATGGAGTTTTGATGTTGAAGGGCAGGGTGCGGAGAGAGTGCCAGCTCTAGGAAACAGAGAGAGGACAATCCTTTTCTCCCTCTTTATTCTATTCAATTGGCCCTTAGTGGATTGCGTGGTGCCTACACACATTAAAGGCAGATCTTCCCCAGTCAGTCCACTGACTCGCACACTAGTGTCCTCTGGAAACATCCTCACAGACTCTCCCAGAAACAGTACTTTACCAGTTCTCTAGGTATTCCATAATCCTGCCAGGTCGATACCTAAAATTAACCATTTAAGCAATAACTCCCCGTTTCCCTCTTCACCCTGCCCCTAGAAACCACCACTCTCTTCTCTGCTTCTATGACTTTTACTACTTTAGATACCTCATAAAGGATGGTATAACTGGTGTATGCATATGTCAAAGCTCAACAAAATGTGTACATTACATTTCACATTTTATCTTTAGTTGTACATTGTATACATTGTCTAAATTGTACATTGCAGAAAAACTCCAATTATCTAAAATTTTTACCTTTATTGAGATATAACATGTAAATTTCACATATCAATTATATCACAATAAAGCTAAATAATTATAAAGAATCATAGAGTTTTTCAATTGGACAGTTATTTGCCTATAAATAATTTAATGTGTATCCTCAAAAAATATTATTTGGAGTAATGTTTATGAAATTAGCCCCAAATACCTTATTTAACAAATGTTTACTGATGGCCTACTGTGTACACACAAAAAATAGGATAGTTGTTTGAGGATACACAATTATAAATCACGTATGGATGTTGTTAAAGAAAAAGGAAACAAAAAGTCTTAAAACCATAATAAAACTTAAAAATGAGAACATTCAGAGGGTGCAGATATGACCTTCAGTTGCAAAAATAATCACTGACGTTCATGGAAATTGGGGTATTTTAGGTGAGTTTTGGATTATGGGCTCAATTTGCTTAGTCGCATAAAAAAGCAAATAGTGCAGGATAGTAGAGGACATCGAATGTCAAACTCAGGTCTTCAGATTTCATTCAGTAGATAATAGGGAAAACACTGAAGGCTTCTTCACACACAGACTCATTATCAGACCTGTGTTCTAGAAAGATATGTCTGCTAGTTGTGAGGCTATTTGATGAGAATGATAGGAAAGAAACAGGGCTGCAGGTTGAAAGACAACACGTTCACGCGAGATGATGGTGGCCTGAAGGTGGATGATGGATACGGTGATGGAGAACACACAGCATCAAAAAATGTAGGGAGAATGAATTGAAGTGGAGGGCAAGGAAAATGGGAATGAGCAACAAACTGGATACCTTGGAGTAAACTGGAGTCTGTTTTGTTTTTGTGAGTGATGAAGGAATTTAAAAAATGATGAGTTTTTAACATCTGGAGTTTGAGAAGCTGACCCTCTGGCTTCGCTCCCTCAGTAAACCCATGTGCTGCTTTCATGGCATGCTACATGTTTGCCCATGCCTTAAAAAGCCTCCAGATGTATCAAGCCCATGTTATGATTGCAGTCTGTCTAAATCAAACAACTCGTAGCCGAGTCTTTGTGGAGTCAGTCAGAAACAGCTTGTGTGACCTTCTGGATGCTTCTCTTAAGGAAAATTTCAAGACACTTCAAATCGTATCTGAAAAATACCTGTACATGGCCCAAGAAAACTTTTTTGTCTTTTTCTCTCTTGTAGGAAGCACAAATCTCCCTTGATTCAGTTCAGCTTAGCTTAACAATCTTACTTGAGCATCAACTATATGCCAGGTGCTATGCTAAGCTCTAGGACACAGTGATGAATGACACAAGATTCTTGCTTCTTTGAGTTCAGAGAAGAGATGATAGGACAGCTGGGTGGGTCAGGTGGGAAGAGGGGTTGCTAGTCAGTAAGGTTCTTGGAGGAGGTGATGTGTAAATAAACTAGAAGAATAAAAAATACGAATAGCTGAAGAGGAAATGATATTTTAGGCCCAGCGAAGAGCCTGAACAAAGACAAGGAGGCCTGAAACAGCAAGTCGTGTTTTGGAAACTACAGGAAGATTGAGAACATCAAGTGCTAGTTGGGAGTCTCAGGCAACGGTGCTGAGAGGTACAGGCGATGCTGAGAGGTACAGGCCATGCTGAGAGGTACAGGCGATGCTGAGAGGTACAGGCCATGCTGAGAGGTACAGGAGATGCTGAGAGGGTGAGGCCATGCTGAGAGGTACAGGAGATGCTGAGAGGTACGGGGAGATGCTGAAGGTTACAGGCCATGCTGAGAGGTACAGGCCATGCTGAGAGGTACAGAGCGTGCTGAGAGGTACAGGCCATGCTGAGAGGTACAGGCCATGCTGAGAGGTACAGGAGATGCTGAGAGGTACAGGCCATGCTGAGAGGTAGGAGATGCTGAAGTACAGGCCATGCTGAGAGGTACAGGAGATGCTGAGAGGTACAGGCGATGCTGAGAGGTACAGGCCATGCTGAGAGGTACAGGAGATGCTGAGAGGTACAGGCGATGCTGAGAGGTACAGGAGATGCTGAGAGGTACAGGTGATGCTGAGAGGTACAGGCCATGCTGAGAGGTACAGGCGATGCTGAGAGGTACAGGCCATGCTGAGAGGTACAGGAGATGCTGAGAGGTACAGGCCATGCTGAGAGGTACAGGCGATGCTGAGAGGTACAGGCCATGCTGAGAGGTACAGGCGATGCTGAGAGGTACAGGCGATGCTGAGAGGTACAGGCGATGCTGAGAGGTACAGGCGATGCTGAGAGGTACAGGCGATGCTGAGAGGTGCAGGAGATGCTGAGAGGTACAGGCCATGATGAGAGGTACAGGAGATGCTGAGAGGTACAGTTGACGCTGAGAGTTACAACGATGCTGTGAAGCACAGGACCTCCCCCGACTGCAGGTGGTGGAGAGAAACACTGAGGTGTTCTGAAGAAGTGGCCAACAGCATCAGATTAGCATTTTAATTTGCAAGGTGACAGGGAGAGGGAATTATTTTATCTGAAAAACAAGTGATACAGCATTTTTAAACAGGAAAAAAAGTAGAAAATACAACGTAGTGAAGAAGAAGGTAGGTCAGGGTGAGGAGGAAGAGATACTAAAATCTGGCAAGTTATCCACTCCTAGATAAACACTTTTCAAATTTTAATAGATCTAGATTTTAGGATCAAGATCGTTATTGACCACATTGTCTCAGCACGCCATGCAGATCTTTCAATGTCTCAGTCAAAGCATGAGTCAAAAGGGGAAACTTCTCAAATGTTAAATATGATTTACACTGAACTATAAGGGCTGCTTTAGCCTGAGCCCTATTGTTACCATGACAACATAAGAAAAGGAAAGACTGATGAAGCTGCTCTAATCAAGAAGATCTTTGATAATATTTAATATCAAGTAAATCACGCCCAGCATCCTGCACAAGCCATGTTTTATACCAGACATCTTTTTATTTGTTTTCCTTTGGAGACAAGGTCTCACTTTGTCACCCAGGCTGGAGTGCAGTGCAATTAAATTATATTTAATTTATATTATTAAATATAAATCATTTAATTTATAAAATTAAATCCAAATATGTAATTTATATTATTGCTGAGTTAACAATAATATATCATCACTATAAGCCACTTTCCATGTCATTAGCTACCTTTTCCAATATAAGAATATGCTACATTTTATTCCACTGAACTATATTTTTTGAAATACTGTCCCATGCCCTGATCTTTCTGTTATAAACAACATTGCAATGAGCATCCCATTTTCACTTTTACATACATTCATTTTGTCAGCATAAGTTTCTAATTGGAATTCCTGTACTGCAAGTTTTACTTTAATCCCAGCATTGTCGGCCGTTTTCATGGGACATGCTACTCTAGTTCTCACTACAAACTTTTACACTCAGTATTTGCTCTGCTCATAAATCATTTGTCCAAATACAAATAAAATAATATTTTATCCAGCACTGACTATATGTCAAGCATGGGTCTAAGTACTTTATCCGTATTTAATGTAGTTTTCAAAACAATGCAATGGAATCGGTGTGATTATAAGCCTTGTTTCAAATTTGAGGAAACTGAGGCACATCCAAGCTGACACACCAGGAACTAGCTTCAAATCAGAAGTCTAGCCCAGAGACAGGTTTTTGCAGCCACTACCCTGTACTTCCCACAGCTGGTTCCTGCTTATCATTTGGGCTTTCTGTACAGTGCTATCTCCTCCTGTCCTTCCCTTGACCATTGTTCCTAAAGCAGTCCACACTTACCCTGACCTGCCCTGCCCTACTACCCGAAATCTGCTCTCTGACTTTTTCTTTCTCCAAGAGACTGGGTCCTATCATTTACATCTCCCGACTTTTTTGCTGCCTGGTTTCTGGATAGATTCAGCCAACAGAGGTTCCCTTTGGAGATAAAAGAACAAAAGGAGACTGAAATAGCAGGATTTCCTTCCAATTCTCCCCGTGCTTTATGCTGTGTCTCTAGCATAACTGAATCCCTCCAGAAGGTAGCAGGTAGCTGAGCGGTACAGGTAGCCTGTCCTGCCAGCTCTAAGAGATGTTAATGGCTTCCTAATGTTGCTGGTCCCTGGGTGCCTCAGCATCCCTTGTTTGTTCCTGTATCCCAGTTCACATCTCTGTCAGTGGTGCCTTCACTAAAATCTCTTCATTGGAATCATCTGAGGTAGACTGTTTCCTGGCAAGAACCTGACTACTAGAATCAATGTATTCTCTTTATTTTCTTTATGCTACTTTTTTACAATCTGAAGTCAACATGTGTATATTGTGTTTCTCTAGCTTCAAGTTTAAAATTCATAAATGGAACTTATGAATTCCATTATTCAACTCTGTTTCCTCAGCATGTGATAAATATTTGTCATACTTATCTATGTGTTTATTTATTAAAGGGTCTATATATTAAATTGCCCTCCGGAAAAAAAATATATATATATATCTGTGTTTCTGTCAAAGAGTGGCCTTAAGCCAACATATTTTTGTTAGCTGCATCCTGAAACAAATAGGACAGCCTATAAAATAAACTGATGGGACGTTGAGTTCCAGGGAGACAAATACAAAGGTGCCTCTCAAAACAATCACTGATAGCCACTGATTAAAGGCCATGGCTGGAGCTCAACAATCAGGGAGCTATTTGTCCATCAACATGGGTCCTGTATTTTCTCTGATGAAAGTCAACATTTTTCTTTGAAAATTATTGTTATTTAGCAGGCAATCTAGAAACAGAACAAGTAGGCTGGAGGTTAGCACCGATAGAAAAATTGCATTTTAATTAGAGAACCCACGTTCATCCTCAGGGATTGAATGGCAGTGAATACTAAGGCTGGTCTGGCTGAAGCTTTGGGCAAGAAAAGATGTGAGGAGCAGTGAGACCTCCCTGTAGAAGGGGCTGCATTTTCACCAAGAGGAATTGGAAGATGGGGTGGGTTGGAGAACTGGGGTTTAGCAGAGAGTTTTGATAAGAAGGATGGCTTTGGGAAGAAAAATAAAGAGGGAGAAGACTCAGCACAAGAGCGAGGAAAAGCCATGGAGTCCCCTCCTCACGAGGGGCCAAGCCCTTCAGGGACTTCCCTTATATGATACACAGCATTGAAAGCCAGCTGGAATGTCACCGCTGACTTTGTGCACTGAGGGTCAGTGACTTAGCCACTTCACCTGTGGCATCGGAACTGTTCAGTTATATGAACCAATGCAGTCTATTATTTTAGCCACTTTGAGCTGAATTTTCTACTACTTATATTGGAAAGCTTCCTAACTGATAGTTAATCTGGTACCAGAGATACGTGAGGCAAGGAGGCCCTAAGAGGTGAGACCGGCTACGATGAGATAGGATGGAGGGTAGTGGCCACGCCTCTTTCCCGTGCTGGGACATTAGTGATCTTCATTACATGTTTGCAAAACAGCTGGTTAAAATGCCACTTATGCTATCTTGTGAGTCAGACTATGAAACTAGCTTGATAGGCAAGACAGATAGGAAAATAGACTTGATAGGAAAATTTTAGACTATCAGAGTACGTTAAGTACTTCCTGTGGTTCAGCTAGAAAGAAATGACCTTGGACTGTCAGTGTCTGAAGGCAGAGGGGGATGGCACAAAGGTCTCCCTTGACCAAAAGAAGCCTTTTTGCCTTTAACCAGCAATTCAAACTGTCAAAGACCCCGGTAGTCTTGAGCTGACATGAAGAAAAAAGTTAAACTCTCTACTTGTAGCCCAAAGTAACTCCATTCAGGGAACTTCTGAAATACATGTTATTCCTGACACAAAGTTGTTATTCCTGTTTTAAAAGGCCATTTATTCACAGACATCCAGCCCCGGGGCCAAGTGCAGCTTATTAGTGAGTCCTCATGGGACCACTGTTTCTTCTTATTGAAGGGTAGAAGACAAAGTATACGTCATTAAAGAGAAATAGGCGAATGAACATTGAAGGCCCATTTCTAGGCCATGCAGAAATTCCAAAACCTAATTTTAGAATCAAGTATTTCACTTTGGTCACTAGCCCAAATTGATAGGACCAAAGAAAATAAAACCCCACTATACATTTGTGGGAGTTTTGACAGAGAAATGTGTGGTAGTATTGACAGAGAAATTCCAAGCCAGATTGCTAATAGTCTCTGCTTAACTTAACTTCTAAAGTGTCTACAGAATGCTAAAAGGGAACCAAGAAGTGGGTTTCTAAAACACCATGGTCCTTTGTAGATCAGTAAGGAAACACCTTCTTTTAAGTGGTCTGGACTGTTTAGTTATGTGATTTTGACTCTGTTAACCTGGAAACTAGCTAAGATGGAATGTGTCAACTGTATGGTTGGTTCACAATGATTCTGAGAAAACAAAACAAAACAAAACAAAAAGGACTCTTGTTTATTAAGTTGCATCTGGACTCGTAGTAACAACATAATGACAAATAGTTATTCTAATAGGCATGGCAATTTTTTGGTGTGTGTGGTGATTCTTATAAGGGGCATGTCCCTGTTATGAGAAACCTGGAATCTATATCCCTGCAGTCCTTATAGGACGTACTGGTTCCTATGGATCATGAGGCTTTTAAGTTAGGAAAATCCACGCACACCCTAGTGTGAATCTCAACCCTTTGATCTAAACTGTCACCTATGAAGAGGACAGCCTTTGGGCGGCTATGTGGACCAGTACACAGATTGCTGACGCAAAAGCATCTGCTGAGAAAAATGTATGACATCATCTTACTAAATAGCAGCTGTTCTTATCTGATATCCTTCTGAGTCATTGGTGGCTAATGTGGCCTTCGGGAGTCTTTTTTGAATACTTAAATAAACCAGTGAAGATGCCTTTGGTGAGCAGAGCATGCTTAGAAAAACAAATTTCCCTGCTGTGTAACTTACATGTAACCATGGAAGACAATGAACAGGAGATCTTCCTGGAAACAAAAATAGGCAATCAAAGATTATTTTGTCTGTTTCCAAGTTCAAGACATTTTAAAAGGAAAAAAAAACCCAACAATTTTAGCTGAGCATATGAACAGGACTGCTTGATATTTTATTTTAGACCTGGAGCTTGATGTGATCGATGGGACTCTGTGTTATCTCCATTCGGCAGTAGTGTGAGAAGTTGGGAGTGTGTGTGTGTTTGGTTTTACTCTGTTTTGTTTTTATTTTTTTAGCATAAGCATTTTAGAACTTCCCCATTTATCTTGGGAAGTAAAATAAATGAGGGTTTTACACAACCAAAATGAAGTAGTATAGTGGTATGTACTGTTTTGAGCCACTCAGCATCAACTGCTCCCTCTTGATATGGTTTAGCTCTGTGTCTCCACCCAAATCTCATCTTGTAGCTCCCAT